AAAAAAGAAAAAATTTGTTTTTTAATTGGGGTGTTCATTATACAGGTACACCCGTGTCAAAACTCATCAAATTCTACCTTTACAGCAGGTGCATTTGTATCCAGCCGTGAGATAAAAGATAATCCTCCCACAACACGGATGGGCCTGTGGGACGTGACGCCACGCGAGAGAAGTCAGACAGGGAAGGAGAAATACCAAGGTTATCTCTCACATGTGGAATCTAAAGAAGGCAAAACTCCTAAAAGCAGACAGTAAAATGGTGGCTTTCAGGATCTGGGAGGTCAGGGATCAGGGTGTGGGCTGCTTAACGGTACAGACGGGCAACTTATCACTAAGGCAGACCTTGGTCTCCTGCTACAGTGGTTAGAGACAGCAGGCATGTACTATAAGCATTACACTTCCTAAGAGATTAGCCTTTAACGGTCCCCAACACTAGAAAAAAAATGATCACCACGTGACGTGAGGGACCATAGAGATGTTGGCTATGCCACCGACAGCAATCATACCGCAACATAAATGTATCAAATCAATATCTTGTACGCCTTAAACATACACAATGTTGTATGTCAGGGATAGCGTGGTTTTTAAAAAAGGATGTAAATTATACCTCTACCAAGTTGATTTAAAAAGAAAAAAAACAGGGGTGCCTGGGTGGTTCGGTCAGTTGAGTGTCCGACTCTTGATGTCGGCTCAAGTCATGATCTCACGGTTCGTGAGATTGAGCCCCACGATGGGCTCTACACGGAGCCTGCTTGGGATTCTCTCCCTCTCTCTCAAAGTAAATAAGCTTAAAAAAAAAAAAGCACACACGCGCAAAAACATAAAAATAGAGGCGCCTAGGTAGCTCAGTAGGCTAAGCGTCTGACCTCGGCTCAGGTCATGATCTCACGGTTAGTGAGTTCGAGCCCCGGGTCTGTGCTGACAGCTCAGAGCCTGGAGCCTGCTTCGGATTCTGTGTCTCCCTCTCTCTGCCCCTCCCCTGCTCATACTCTGTCTCTCTCTCTCTCTAGCAAAAATAAACAAACATTAACATTTTTTGAAAAAAATCAACATAAAAATAAAATAGTCAAGTCTTTGCTCTGGCCACACAAGCTCACTTCAAGGGATTAAATTTAGGACATGGTCAGCGCTGAGGACAATGATTTAAGCACAAGATTTTTCCATACAGTGAGATAACTGGGAACTTGTATGGCATGTAAATGTCTTTACAGACACTGGTTCATTTACTAAAATATAAAATCATTTAAAATGACGTCCTAAAATTAAGCTCTACCAAATATTGTCACGACCAGGAGAAAGTCTCACGATGCTATTTACGTGAAAAAAAGCAGGATGCAAAACTAGAGTTCCAAACTATGACTTATACTGTGGCACCTTCTGAGATTTTACACGACACACACCTTTGACTACATCATTAGAAAACCAAAACGTCCCAGATAATGCCACGGACAGGATTTGCTTTCTTTCTTTCTTTTTTTTTTTTTTTTAAATGTTTTTTATTTATTTCTAGGAGAGAGAGAGAGAGACAGCGTGAGCAGGGGAGGGTCAGAGAGAGAGGAAGTCACAGACTGAAACAAGCTCCAGGCTCAGAGCTGGCAGTCAGCACAGAGCCCGACGAGGGGCTCGAACCCACGAACCGCAAGAACATGACCTAAGCGAAAGTCGGACGCTCAACCGACTAAGCCACCCAGGCGCCCCCCCCCCTTTTTTTTTTTTTTTTTAGGATTTACTTTCAGGCACGTGTTCATTAGCTGTGAAAACAAAGAGCCTGGTCCCACTGTCTGTGGGAGGCTGGGTGCCTCGGAGGTCGGGACAGGAGGAATGAACGCCGCACATCCATCCCGTTTCCGTGGCTGCAGCTGGGGCTACTCACTCCAGGATGCTGGGCCCCTCTCGACTCCCCCCTTCCTCAAGACCAAACTCCTTGAGAAAACCTTCTGTGGCTTGTCCCCAACCAATTCTCCGGCATCCTCTGCCTGGGGACAGAGGCTTCCATTAATTAATCTTTCATTTATCCTGCGGAGCCAGTGAGAGGCCCCTCAGCCCCACCTGCCTCGGCGGCTGGCAGGGAATGCTCGTCCCCACCCTTCCCTGTCCTTAGTTGACCTCTCCGGATGGTTACTTCTCCTGGGACACCCCTCGTCCCCGGGTCCCCCCCTCGATCACATCTTCCTGCCTGAACAGCCACAGCTTTCGGGGACGCGAGTCACCAGCTCTGATTCTGCGCCTGTGGGGTTATTTCATTAACCTCCGCCCCTCCGGCTGGACAGGGATGTCCCGGGGAGCAGCCCCAAGGGGTTTCGTACTCCTGGCTTCCCGTGTCTTCCGTGTTTCCAGAAAGCACTGGGACACTCCAGACATGTGTTGCAGGAAGGGCTGTCTCCTCATCTGTGAAATAGGAGTAGCCCACCTAGCTTCCCATCAGCAAGGTTTATTAATAAGCCCAGACGCTGGAATGCTCTGCTCCCTTCAAGCCTGGCTCCCCAAACCTCGGATGACATCACCCTCATTAACAATTAGCAAGGCGATTACCAGCCAGGCCCCCAGGGCTCCCAGGGAGCATCCAGGCTGTGGGGGTTTGAGAGCGGGAGTGACATGGGAAATCCTGGTGAGTCACCGAGAGTGGTTACTAACTTGGAGGATTTTCCCCGAGGCCCTCCTGTTTCTCCCACCGCCGTGGTGGGAACCGCAGGAGAATTTCCCCAGCAGGAGACAAGGTGCGCAGACATGACCCCCCTCCCTTCCAGGCTTCTGTACGCAAGGAGGCAGGGTGGTAGAAATGAGGGGCGCCTGGGTGGCTCAGCCGGCTAAGCATCCCACTTCGGCTCAGGTCATGATCTCATGGTTCCTGGGTTCGAGCTCAGAGCCTGGAGCCTGCTTCAGATTCTGTGTCTCCCTCTATCTATGCCCCTCCCCACTCTCTCCCTCAAAACTAACCATCAAAAAAAGAAAAAGAATGGTAGACATGGCAGAAGCCTCTCAGGGGTCAGAGCTGCACAAAGGACCCACAGAACCTTTCCAATGACCGATAATACGGTAGCTACCATCATGATCCCATTTCATAGATGGGGAAAGTGGAGAAAGTGAGGTTTGCTAACTTATTGAAAGTCACAACACTCCAGAGACCTTGCTCTTAACCACCACACCCTAGAGTAACCCCCTGTATCCTCAATTTTGCTTGTTTTCTACAGTTCCAGTCGACAGGCAGTCAACCTTGTGGGGGAAGCAGATGGGCCTCCTGACTGGGGTTAAGGGATCAACCGTGTGGCAACGCCTATGTCGATGACCTCACTTCATCACGTCACGGAGGCATCGCACCATCTTCACATGTTGCCAAGACGAGTGAGTATAGCGTATAGTATTTTGAGAGAGAGACACCACATTCCCATAACTTTTATTACAGTGTATTGTTGCAACTGTTCTATTTGATTAGGATGTACTGTTAATATCTTACCGTACCCAACACATAAACTAAACCATCCTCAGTATGCATGTATAGGAAAATATATTGTATACGTAAGGTTTGTTTCAATCTGTGTTTGCAGGCACACACAGGGGTGGGGGTGGGGTCTGGGGATGGCCCCCCGAAGCATAAGTGTGGGCAGGGGGGAATCACTGTACTGCCTCATCATCTCCAACGCGAAGGTTGTCCAAGGAGATGTTAATGACACCCATCTGACCCAGTGACTCCTGCCCAACAATGCTTCAGGAGTGGCACCCGGAGAGAGGAAGAGGGGAGGCTGGCACCCAGTGGGTCACATGGTAAGGACTGCTTTTTCAGGCTGAAACTCAAGAGCGGTGATGCCTGTGGAATGAACACTGACAGGTCTCCCCTCCCCCAAGAACAATTACTCGTCTATGGGGAGCTCCAGCTCTCTGCCCAGAGCTGTGGTTTTTCAGCAGGAAGCAAGTCATGTGCATCAACGATCAGGAGCTCTATAATCCAGCTGGGATCCCCAATACCTGCTTAACCATGGGAGGTGGGGGGGGGGGATGCACAGAACTTCAAGGCCTCATGACCCTACAGCACAGGGTAAGTAGAACGTGACCCTGGGGCCAGAGAATGCAACCCCAAACCAAGGCACAATGGGCGATTTAACAAGAAAAGAATGTCTTCTCCAATACAGCACATCCGTTGCCTCCGGGAAGGGGGGGAAGGGGTACTGTGCTTCCATTGGGTTTAAAATAAAACCCAAACAGGGGCATCTGGGTGGCCCTGTGCGTTAAGCTTCTGACTGCGGCTAAGCTCCTGATCTGGAGGTTCATGGGTTCCAGCCCCGCATCCGGCTCTGTGCTGACAGCTCAGAGCCTGGAGCCTGCTTCGGATTCTGTGTCTCCCTCTCTCTCTGCCCCTCCCCTGCTCACACCCTGTCTCTCTCAAATAAGGAAACATTTAAAAGTTTTAGACTAAAACCCAAACGCCTTCCCATTGCTTCCAAGACCTTGCATGACCTGACCAACCCCTTCCACGCCCCACGCTACCCTCCCGGGCTCCGGCCAGGAGTTTTCTTTCCGCACCAAGTCTCCTCTCCTCCAGGTCGGTGGGGCTCGTTCTTGCGGTTTCCTCCACCCGGATTACCCCCTAGACCTCCGCCCGGCCGCTCCCGCTCATTCCGGTCACCCCCTCTTCCTCCGACGCCCTGGCCTGGGGTGTCAGGCTGCCCACACCGCATCCCTGCAGGCTGGAAAGTGCCCGCGGGTCTTCACTTCTTCAACAAATGTTGGTTGAAGGCACAAAAGGCTGAACACACTCAAATCGACTCACCCACCGACTCTCCTCCGCCCCCCCCCCAGAAAGAAACACCTGTGACCAATTATTAGAGAAGACCTCTGCAAGCGTTAGCACGAGTCCCCTCGAAACAAAGACGGTGACCGCGCTGCGGGGCTGCGCGCCGCCCCCAGAAGGCCCCCAGCGGACCCCTTCGCGAGGGGGCGCGCGCCCCGGCGCCGGACTCGGCCGCCGCCCAGCGGCCGGGGCGGGAGGCGGGCGCGCTGCCTACCTTGAACTCGGCGGAAAGTTGGGGCGTGTACTCGCGCGTCCAGAGCGCGCGCACCAGCGCCGCCAGCTGCTCGGTGACCTCGGCGCGGCCCGGCGCCGCCCGGTAGCGCCCCAGCGCCAGGAACTCGGCCAGCAGGTCGGTGTTGCTGAGACACTGCACCACGGCGTTCATGAAACAGGTGTTGCCGTGGTTCTTCAAGCCCTGCGCGCCCGGGGGCCGCGCGCCGTCGCCGGCGGGGGCCTGGGGCTGGGGGCCGGCCGCGCGCTCCCCCCCGGGGCTCCCGCGCGCCGCCGGGGCGGGGCCGGGCGGTGCGAAGCCCCCCTCGCCGTCGCCTTCGCGGGGTCCCGGCCGGGGCGGCGAGGCCCCCGGGCGGGAGCGGCTCGCCAGCGCCAGCAGGAAGCTGCCGAGCAGGCGCCGCAGGGAGCGGCGGCGGCGGCGGCGGGGCGCGGGCGGCCCCTCTCCCGCCGCGGCCCCCGCGCCTGGGTCCATGGCTCCCGGCCTGCGCGCGCCCCCCGGAGCCGAGCCCCCGGGGCGGAGAGGCAGCCGCGCCGCCGACCCGCCCTGACGGCTCCGGAAAGGCGGCGGGCGCCGGCTACCTGCGGGCCAGGTGTGCGCGGACCGGGCGGGGGCGGAGCCAAGGGCGGCGCCGCCCCGCCCCGCCCCGCCCCGCGCGGGAATCCGGCCGCCGGGCCCGCCCCGGGCAGCGCCGCGGCCGCGCGAGTGGGGGCGCCGGGAGTCGCAGGCTCCGCGTCCCCACCCCCTCCCACCCCCCGCCCTTACCTCTTACAAACCGACGCCCCGAATTTCCCTCCGGTCCCCCCCGCCCCCCCGGCCACGGTGGAGCGGGGACAAATTTGCCAGCGCCTGGTGCGCTGCGAAGCCCTAGTGAGTTTCTGGAGACGACGTGCAGGTGCAGACGACGAACGGGGAACGGAAGACCGGGAGCGGCCGGGAGCGGTGACCCCGCCTCGCAGCCCGTCTGCCCCCTAGGGGAGGCCGCCGTGCGACCGGCGCCGGGAAGACCCCGCCCGGGAAGGTTGTGGTTTGCATGTTTCGGCCGCCAGGTCAGAGTCGCTTCCCCAAACCTTGGGAGACCTCACTCGCGTCGCTTGAGCTGGTGGAGGAGCGGGCTCGGCGAGGTTATCGCCTGTCCCGAGGCCGCCAGCCGCCCCCCCCTCCCCGGACAGGGACCCCGGAACTCCCCCGGGTCTCTTTCCAACCTTCCGCGTTTGCTAATCCAGGAAGTTTTCCGGCTCGCTGGCGCGCCCCCTGTTGCGGCCCCCGGTTCGCTCCTGAAGCGAAAATCCTCGCTGAATTGATGCCCAATCAGGGGTGGCTTGGCCTTGACCCGCCCTTGGTTCCCTGGGTGACTCTGGGGGCCTCCGTTCGCTTGATCGTCTAACCGTCAGGTTTATAATTAATCAGAGTCTTGCAGACGAATTTCTCATCAATTTCTGGCTCCAAAAGAGATCAGCGGGATGCACTCATTACACCGATGCCCAGAAATGTTACTCATTTGATACCGAAGTGATCATTTATTAAATACCCACCTTGATATGTCAGATAGGGTCCCAGCAAGTTACCTGAGGCAAAAAGGCTTAGTGCAAAACACTGTACTGCGAATTGGAGACTTGAAGTGTTTCTGGAAAATGCCATGATTTACCCTTTATGGAAAAAGATACCCGGTTGGATCATTAATACGCAGGGTCCATTCCCTTGCCTAGAAAAGCATCTATGAGGGGCGCCTGGGTGGCTTAGTCGGATAAGCGTCCGACTTTCGCTTGGGTCATGATCTCGCGGTTCGTGGGTTCGAGCCCCGCGTCTGACTGCCAGCTCAGAGCCTGGAGCCTGTTTCAGAGTCTGTGACTCCCTCTCTCTCTGACCCTCCCCTGCTCACGCTGTCTCTCTCTCTCTCTCTCTAGAAATAAAAAAAAAAAAAACATTAAAAACAAAAAAAGAAAAAAAGAAAAGCATCTATGAGGGGGCGCCTAACTGGCTCAGTGGGTTGAACATCTGTCTCCATCTCTGCCCAGGTCACGATCTCACCGTCCACGAGTTCGAGCCCCCCTTAGGGCTCTGTGCAGACAGCTCAGAGCCTGGCGCTTGCTTTGGATTCTGTGTGTGTGTCTCTCTCTGCCCCGCCCCTGCTCACAATGTCTTGTTTTCTGTCTCTCTCTCAAAAAGAAATAAACATTAGAAATAAAGAATTTGGAAAAAGCATCTATGAAATTTCACCTTTGATGATCACCCCAAGATCTCTGGGAAAGCACTGTAATTCATGTTTAACTGTCTACTCTGTCAGGAATTCTGCCCATGCTTAAACACCATATTTCACTTAATTCTCAAAGTACGCTTTTAAGCAGGTTGAAGAGACCAAACAGAGGCTGAGAGAGAAGGAAGATAGGAAGGAAATCCTAAAATCCTATGGAAGATCTGGACTTAAACCAAGTCTTGCCCCCATTGCAGCTTCACCAATGAAATGCTGATTAAGAAAGCAGGCTGGCCCTCCTTATTTTCAAGAATAACGGTGGTGCTATCTGTGTGCAAATGATGCGGAAGGGCCATGCGCTTCGCAGTCCTACAACAGAGATTCTGACATGAAACAACTGGACATTTATTCATCATAAAAAAGAAACATTTAATTACAGTCCAGACAACATATTCTTGAACACACAGCGATTTTAATCCACAATTTAGGAAGGTAAAATGCATTCTGTTAAGAAAAGTTTGAACTGTGAAACGCTTTGACTAAAGAACAAAATCACGGATGTGAGAAGTCAGGACCCATCTTTGGGGTTCTGTGAGGTCAGCCTTCTGGATCCCGGAAGTCGATGCGGCACTCAAGAGGTGAACGGGTACTTCCATCTCAGAACAGCTCCATCAGCACTTACGCTGATGATGTAATGATTTCCTGGACTTATCCGGATGCGGGTGATGTTGCCACTGTGCCCCACCCCGACGTGAGTCACCTCCCCTCCGTTATAATCCCAAACTTTGACCAGATGGTCGTTCCCACCTGGAAAAGACAAACAGACCTATATGGCCCTGCTGCACTAAAATAGGGAGAGGGGCGCCTGGGTGGCTCAGTCAGTTAAGCGTCCAACTTAGGCTCAGGTCATGATCTCACGGATCAGAGTTCAAGCCCCGCATCGGGCTCTGTGCTGACGGCTCAGAGCCTGGAGCCTGCTTCCAGTTCTGTGTCTCCCTCTCTCTCTGCCCCTCCCCAGCTTGTGCTCTCTCTCTCTCTCTCTCTCTCTCAAAAATAAACATTTAAAAATTTTTAAAAAGATTGGGAGAAACAGCCCTGATTTCAAGTAACTGCCTAATTTTCAACACATTCCTGTGTTCCAGTTTCAAGGAAGAAAAAAAAATCTATAGTAACTCTTTCCCTTGATTATAAAAATCTAGGTCTGTTGTAGTAAATTTGGGGGAAAGAAATACAAAGAGGCGACATTTCCCCTTTTCCCCACACGCAGAAATAACCACTAATAACATCTTTGGTTTCTTCCAGGCTTTTCTCCAATAAGTTTTCAGGTTTCCATATACACCTTGTAGATGTGGTTGGGATCACACCATGTGTGGTCTTATTTATTTATTTTTAAAGTTTATTTACTTTGGGAGAGAGAATTCCAAGTAGACTCCACACTGTTAGCACAGACTGCGCGCTGGTCTTGAACTCAAGAACCGCGAGATCATGACCTGAGTGGAAGTCGGAGGCTTGACGGAGGGAGCCACCCAGGCGCCCCCACCAGGTGTAGTTTTATATCACACTCTAAGTAGATGCGTTTGTGAAACTAATTCATTTTGGAGCATTTATCTGTCAATATCCTGAAGAATCGGGGCTTGGCCGAAATGATCATGGATGGTGTTCTAGTAGGTGTGTTGTGGGGGGCAGGCGGGGGTTCCCCCCCCCCCCGCCCAAAATACTGGTTTAAAAGCCTGGCAGTGAAGAGACTTCAGCAGGAAATTACAGAGCAAGGCATGCCAGATAACCCAGACCATTTAAAGGCCCATTTCTGTCATCAATGCTGCCACACACAAAAAATGGAAGCCGTCTAAGGTTTAGCCTGTACGTGTGCCCTGGAGGCCCACGGGCAGACGTTTCCTCCCCCTGAAGCGTTGGCTTCTGGATATTTCTTTTCCAGCCGCGCAGGGCGCAGGCCTGAATGTAACCACGTTGCCCTGAAGACACTTTGGTCATCACTTCCTGTTGCCTCCCACCCGCGAGTCCTATGTTCCCACTGAAATAAGCACGGCTCCACTTTCTTTTCCTGTCCCGCGACTGACCTGTGACAAAGTGCACCCCTTCCGCGGTGATATCCATTCCGTTGATCGACCCGGACAAGGAACCTTCCAGCTCTCTGATCACTGAACCATCAAATACTTCCCAGTAAGCAATCTGGAAGTCAGAAGAAGCAGCATCAGGCCGGGCCCAGCTCGGCGGAGGCACCGGTATGTGCGTGCTCACACAAACACGGTTGTACTTTATATAGAAGGCGGCAAAAATACACCCTGGGATGATATATGGGCTGAAACTATAAACAGGCTCAAGCAGGGGGTGGAGGAGCCCTTTTAATATTTTTAGCATTGGTTTTTAAATTTGCAGTCTATTTAGAGAGATGTCGATGTGCCAGGAAGCCCCGATTGTGACAGACAGAAAGTGCTTTCGCTGAGAGTAAGCACTCTGGAGTCCGAAGCGTAAGCTGTAAAAGAAGGAAGAAAACAGCCACCACATCCACTTCCCCACTTCGGCTCTTAGAGGAGGGCTGAGCGTCAGGTCTGGTGGAAGGCAAGCTCCCCTCTCCAGCTGCTTGGGGAATGAGGGGTTCCAGAGAGTTCTGTAGCTGACCCCCTCCTTCGCCCTCTATTTCCAACTTTCTCTTCTGCCTCAAAGCAGCGAAACATCCCACAGGTGGGGTCCAGAGGCAAACTGGTAATACAGTCCCTTCGTGGGGAGGCGAACTAGGTCAGGGGTGTGGGGGGTGGGGGGAGGTGTCAAGGGTGGGAGACTTTTCTCTGAATATATTGCTTTTATAGTCTTTGAACTTCGAACCTTGTAAACATACAACCGATTGAAAAAGAAAATTTCTTTCCTGGAGCCTGGGTGTAGGTTGAGCATCTGACTGTTGACTTCAGCTCAGGTCATGATCTCATGGTTGGTTGTGAGATCGAGCCTTGCTTTGGGTTCTATCCTGGGCATGGAGCCTGCTTAAGATTCTCTCTGTCCCTCACCCTATGCCCCTCTCCTGCATTCTCTCTCTCTCTCAAACAAAAAATAAAATAAATAAATAAATAAATAAATAAATAAATAAGAATAAAAGAAAAATTCTTTCTAAACAAAGCACTTGACCAGGCTTCAGGAGTCTGAACTTGGACATGCATGTCACCTCTTTCTCTTGTTTCATGTTGATGGGAATGTGCTGTGTTCTAGTCATTACTCCAGGAAATCTAGATTCCTCTGAATTTAGCAAGAAGTTGTGTATGCTATTTCAAAAAAGTTTTTTTAGCAAATTTGTTAATTTCTATTGATGCTCGATTGCTTTAACAAAAAGTTGTTTTTGTAGTAAAAGCATAGAGGGGTGTAGAAACGTGCCCAGATCCTCATTTCTCGGGAATCACATCCATGTAGGTAGGTAGCAGGTAACTGACTGCCTGCTTTCTTGGCCAAAGCCAAAGGGGCCCTCTTCTGGGCATCTTATGGCGCCTCAGGCTTTCTCTCTGCCTGGAATGCTCTTCCCTGAGAGCTAAGCATGGTGAGGTCTCAGCTCAGATGTCACCTCCTTAAAGGAGGCCTTCGCTGGCCATGCTAGCTTCTGTCTGTCCAGCCAGGATCACGTAACCTGTTGTTTCCCTTTTATCCGTTTCACCACCTGACGTCATCTTTGTTCACCTATTACCCGCTGTTCATGGACATGTCGGTTCACACGGGTCCTGGCCAATCCATCCCCTCCCGCCCACCACAGCAGGGACCCTGTTATGTCCCCAGCCCTGATAGCAATTGTATTGATTTGTGATTTATGCTTTGAAAATTCTGGTGAAAATTCCCCAGTGAGGACAGGAGAGTGTTTCAAGTCTCATAGCCCAAACTCTGGAATGTAGGAAACAAGACACGAATCTAGAAATTTTCTGAACCATGTATAATTGCATTTACAGTGATGCCATGAGTAACTTCCTACGATCCCTTCTGCCCCAGTTCCAACAGGAAGCCTACTCAGGTCAGAAGTGAAACACAGGGTTGAGGGGGTGGGCAGACACAGGCCAGTTTGGGTGGACAGACACAAAGAAATGAGCAGGGCCAACCTAGGAAGACCAGAGCGAGGCAGAGCTCAGGGCCCCGTAAAACATTCTGTCTGCGTCAGGCAAACCTCGACCCACACGAGGTGGCATTTCTTGTTCTTTTTATGACACAATGTTTTTGGACAGGAGTTCCCCATCATCTGGGAGGCTTGAACAGGAAACAAACCCATTCCTAGATTCTGTCTCTGGTGTTGGGTGGGGGGGGGGGGGCACGGAGAGAAGAACCTCTCGTATTTTTCCTACAATATTTATATAGTCTTACCTCCACTTTTTCTTTAGCTGGTAGAAAAGATAAATACACAATCTCTTCTTCAATGACCTCAAAGTCATCTCAAAGTTTGAATTAGGGGAATCCAAATCCAGTAATTGGAGGTGCAGAGTCATTAGACAGACCTGGATCATCAGACATGGTGGGGAGGGTAGACGACACCACAGGGTCCTTACCTCTCCGTGGCCTCTCCACTGAAGCCTTTTGCTTGCTCCAAGAGGAAAGGTTACCCCTAAAAGAGACACCAGTCTCTACCCAAGGATGTGGACTCTCTAGCTAATGACGTGTGTCATGCATTGGTGAAACAGAGGGGATGAGCAGTGAGGAGCTCTATTACCATTTGATTTGAATGTAGTCCAAGGGACAACTAGTTTGGGCAATGCCATCCTGGTCTCAGAAATTCCCTAATAATAATTACCAGCACGTATTGAGTAGCTACTACGTGCCAGGCCCCCTGCTATGGGCCTTATACACAAGCATGGCTTTAATGCTCGCTGCAGCTGTGAGGTGAGTGGTATCATTTCCACACTACAGATAAGGAAGCAAAGGCACCAAGAGCTGATGCGCCATTTCCAAAGTGGCGCCCCTGAACTACAGCAAAAGTGCTCTGAAGTCGCGGGGCTCGACTCCAGAGCTGGCACCCTCAGCCACAACACTTTACTGGGTCTCTCACGTGCCAGAAGGACCCTGACTATTGCTGGGAGGACTTACCTTTCTGTCTGTGCCACTGGTGATGATCTGGAACTCTTCGGGGTGGTAACAAACACACTGGAATAAGGTGTTTGCCAGGATCATCTGATTCCTCCTAAGACGCCTGAAAACAAGTAGACGCAAAAGCTGTGAAGCTTGACTTTCTCTTCTCTAGAGAACGTATTTACTCTTGAGCCTGGATTCGGGACAAGCTTGCATTGGGCTGGTTTATCTAATCCAGACAGACTTCCTGCTTCTCTGCCGCCTCCACTTTGAAGTCCTCCCAATGCACCAAGTCAGAAGATACCGGGGGGGGGGGGGGGGCTTTTCCAAAGACGAAGCACGGAACTCCAGGGGAAGCCTTAAGTTCCAACGAGAATAGGAGAGGCTGAAGTCAGCGTCAACCTGCTGTCCTCCACACAAGCCACCATATTCTCAAGACCGCCATTTTGAAGCCAAGTTTCTACCACCCGAATGGCAAAGCGTGGGGGGCAGCTTTTTAAACATCGATATTATTGAATCTTCCCTATGAGGATCTGGATCCAGCATGTTAGGAAGAGGCCACAGACAGGCGCTCTTCATCAGTGTGCCAGGTGACTGTCAGGGGCAGCACAGTCTGAAAGCCCCTGTGCTGGACACCATACTGACAAATGCGTAAACATGGTGGCCGTCTCACAGGCCGGGCTCTACTGGCTAAAAAGAAATGCACGTTCTGCACAGTTTCTTCTCAGTATGGAAGTTTTCAAACACGCTATCTGGGCTGATCGTTTTCTAGAGATTTTGGCATAAGTTAACCAAGTAGCCCCGCTAACAACAGGAAGGGTTCAGCGATTTGAGGTGGTCACAAACCATCCATGGAAATACTTTTAGACACACCCTCCCTTCTAGTTCTGTATTTTCCCAGTGGGGGGTTCAGGTGCAGGCTAAGACCTCCCACAAGTGTGGTCCTTGAACCAAGGGCATCCCTGGGGTGCTGGTTAGAAATGCAGAATCTCAGCGTGCCTGGGTGGCTCAGTCGGTTAAGCTTCTGACTTCAGCTCAGGTTCTGATCTTGTGGTTTATGTGTTTGAGCCCCGCATCGGGCTCTGTGCTGACAGCTCAGAGCTTGCTTCAGACCCTCTCTCTCCCTCTCTCTGCCCCTCCCCAGCTTGTTCTCTCTTTCTCCAAATAAATAAATAAACTAAAAAAATGCAGAATCTCAGGCATCCCATCTGGACTTAATGGATAAATATCTACATTTTCAGAAGAGTCCCAGGGGCTTCAAATGCACATCAAAGTAACGAGACACACAGGACCAGGGATAGAGGTTTTATTTTTGTTTTTTGTTTGTTTAAGATTTATTTTTAAATGTTTACTTCGAAAGAAAGAGACAGAACATGAGTGGGGAAGGGGCAGAGAGAGAGGGAGACATAGAACCTGAAGCCGACTCCAGGCTCTGAGCTGTCAGCACAGAGCCCGATACGGGGCTCAAACCCACGAACCATGAGATCATGACCTGAGCTAAAGTTGGACACTTAACTGACTGAGCCACACAGGTGCCCCTGGTTTTTGTTTTTTAATGTATGAAATAAAAAGTGTTCTGCCTTTGCCTTAATTCCCATTCTCTTCTCTGTAATATAGAATTACATATTCTAGAATCTAGAATCCATATTCTTTTGCAACATATGTATCCACATCTACATTTAGATCTCTCTTCTCCCACCTCTTGACTTATTCAAGTCTCTCTAATGTAGGCAGCTGCAGAAGCAAGGCATCTTAGGAATGGTAGAGGCGTGCTGGGTGAGGGGAGGGTTAGGGGAAGAGGGTCTAGTTCCAAATAAAAACACAAGGGCACTTGGGTGGCTCAGTCAGTTAAGCATCTGTCTTTGGCTCAGATTGTGATCTCATGGTTCATGAGTTCGAGCCCCACGTCGGGGCTCTGCACTGACAGCTCAGAGCCTGGAGCCTGCTTTCAATTCTGTGTCTCCCTCTCTCTTTGCCCCTCCCCTGCTCTCTTTCTCTCTCTCTCTCTCTCTCAGGAAATGCATAAACATTGAAAAAAAAAAACCTAAATAAAACACACAGCCAAAATGCTCATAGTAAAAAAAAAAAAAATCGCCCTTAAAAATCCTTTGCGTCGCCCCAACAATAAAAGTTCACGTGCTTTGGCCCAGCTAGCTCGGAGTCAGGTGCTCTACAGGAGCTGTGACATGCTCTCCGCATCAAGAGGGCCCCGGCTAAGGGGATAGGGCAAGACTGACCCCACTCACCCCCCACCCCGTCGCCCATCCCCTCCCAAGGCAAGAGGAACTGCCTGCATGATTATTTCCCTTCTCCCTTTTTGGGGGAGGGGCAATTCTTAGCACTGTATGTGCATAAATTAAATCCTGCTTCGCTGTGTGCGTGCGGAAAGCTAGTTCCCTACGTATCCGGAATCTTCCAACATCAGCTCTTCCTGGACACTGCGCCCTTTCTACCAGCGTCTGTGAACCCTAAACAGGCAGAGAGGCGAATGGCTTCAGATGAACTTCCCCTTCCTGTCGCTGTGAAGGAGAGCTCTACCCTTTGTTTGGATCTTCTCTCTGGGAAACGCTGGAATTGCTGGGTTTTGTGTCAGATTGCCCTCCCCGTCACAGGTACTTACACAAGGTCCCAAATGACACAGGTCCCATCCGTGCTGGCCGTGACACACTCCTCGTTGTTCTTCTTCACCCTAATGCAGGACACGGAGGATTTATGCTCCTTCAGGGCCTCCTCCAGCTTCTGGGTGTGACAGCCTATCTGCCACACCCTCACCTGAAAGCCACAAAGCGCGGGCGTTCAGCGCCAACCTGGGGCTTTGGAAGATTAAAAAAAAAACAATAAAACCAACGACTCCGAGAGCTTTTCTACCTCTGCTGTGCTTGACCTGTTTTTGTAAATTCCCTGCTCTGATCTCAGTTGAGTGGGGTGGGAACGCTAAGCTGTGGAGCATGAAGAGCCTTCGGCGGAGCCAGGCGAACACTACCAATGATCCCGCACTTGCATCTACTCTCAAGGCTGAGAAATTTACCAGACACCTGCGGCCAAACCGAGTGACATAATGTATGTCTGCGCGTTTCTGCTGAGCGCCGCTCTCAGATTTCTGATGCCCTCAGGAAATCTCCCGGGGACGCAGAGCCATATTTAAACTCCACATCAGCTGCTCAGGGTCAACCATTTCAAATCGATGGGTCTCAGCCTCATCGGAACCAATACCCACTTTCTACAGCAAATATTTTCTGATCCCCGCTCCCCCCGCACTCTAATATCCAGAAGTGAAATTCATAGGTCAGAAGACCTACACACAACATTTCAAAGCAGCCCGTATGATGCCCTAACTGTAACAAAAAGGCTACATAGGAGGAAAGCTATTGATATGTTCTGTAATAAACATTCTGTCACAGCTGTATCAGAAAACGTAATAGTGTAGTTAGATGTTTATACTTTCTTATGAGTATGTTGGACTTGAAGAAGAAGACGAAGAAGAAGAAGAAGAAGAGATTATCTTGTGTAAGTCATATGAGCCAATAGAAGAATAGTAGCTCTGGGTGAACACCTGACTAGAAACTAGTATCGGGGTAAGTTATAACAGACTGACTTATTTGTACCTGAAAGAGAAAAATAACCATAAACAAAGCAGGAGAAACATTCTAAGATGCTTCCTTAGTAAGGAAGATGAGGAGGCGTGAAGTTATCCCAAATGGGCCGCACCATATTCGTTTCTACGGTGTCCAAACAATTGCCCCTGTCCTGACACAGGATGAGACAGTGACTGTTGTCAGGGAAAACAGACCTCTAATCTTGTACTCCCACTACATGGCGAGGCCCACATTCAGTCTTCAGCAAGAGCAATGCCCACATTTTCGAACTACTATGGTGGGGGGATCAGCCAAACAGCACCGAGGCCTGCAACTTGGGGCGTTCTGAGTATTAGCCCTTTGGCTATGGGATCACAGGGGGGTTGGGGTATGTTTGGGCAGGGGAGGGGATACGGTGGTGGGATTGGGGTCTTCGCCACTCAGGCAAGGGCCATTTACCAGTGAAAATGGAATTACAGGTGCTTGAGTATTTCGGGGACTGCTGGATTCATAGCAGCACACACCCACTGACCAGCAGCCCTGGTCTCCAGCACTTGACAAAGACCTTGAAGACAATGTCTTCTGGAAGGAAGGTCTGTATGAGCTGAGTGGGGGATGGGAGGAAGAGCTGACGTGGTGTTCTGAAAAGATTTCTGAATGGGGCCAAGGGCACTGAATTTGTCATGCATGACTTCCTCCGGCCGCTCTCCACAGCTTGGCCCAAGCCAAGTCTGGGCATCAGCAAGGCAGGTGCCCCAAAAGGCTGAGGGATGAAGCAAGGGTGCTGAGGATATCAGCAACGCCATGGCTGAAGAGATAGGAGAAGGGATCAAAGCCCTTGTGGGGGCGGAGGGCAGAGAGCTGGGGAGGGTACAGGGCTGGAAATGTCGCTGGGCACCTGCCACAGGGCTAGCCCACGTGGAGATGTGCTCTGAATGTAAAATCTGCATCAGATTTTGAAGACTCGGTACAAAATAGTGTAAAACATCTCATTAATTGGAGTATTGTGATCCTCCCTTTACACACAAGAAACCAAAGCACAGAGAGGTTCAAGAGCATGCCCCAGGTCACACAGTCAGGATGGGACAGAAGTGAAACATGACTCTTGAGGGGTGCCTGGGTGGCTCAGTCGGTTAGGCATCCGACTTCAGCTCAGGTCATGATCTCACGGTTCGTGGGTTCGAGCCCCGTGTCGGGCTTTGTGCTGACAGCTTGGAGCCTTGGAGCCTCCTTCGGATTCTGTGTCTTCCTCTCTCTATGCCCATCCCCAACTCACTCATGCTCTGTCTCTATGTCTCAAAAATGAATAAACATCAAAAAAATTTTTAAAAAAAGAAAGAGAGAAAGAAGCATGACTCTCGAACTCAATTGCCCAGCCACAAGTCTGCTTGGCCCAAACTCTGCGAAAGTCTACATCAAGATGCTGCCTCTTTCTTCTCCCTGACAAGTTCTTCCTACAGTAGCATGGAGAAAGGGAAGGAAAGGTCCTATGTTGAGAAAGGAAGGTTTTGGGGGCAGAAGACAAGTTGGGGAGTTGCGGGGGGGGGGTGGACGCTGAGATGAACGTGTGGATGGAAGATGTTTCAAGCTCGTCCAAATGATGGAAGGGAAGGTCAAGTGTAACAATTTTGAAATAACGGTCAAATATCTGGGTAGATGAAAGAAGTGATTCTAAAAATAGCATCTCCTTTAAAAGATAAGATGAAGACAATTTATGTAACTATAGTCTTTGAAGGAAAAGAGTAAGTATTCCAAAACTCTGGCAAAACACTGACTTGGATTCATGGCTCGATTCCACACTGAATGCTTTCATGTCTATATCTTACACGTTCTTTTGTGAACAAATATATCTCTCTGCATGTTTGTATTATTAGAACTCTAATTTATGGTGTATTGTATAGGGTTTCTTCAAATTCTTACTTTGGTCCTGCCTGACTCCTAGAACAGATTAAAAAAAATCAAGTCCATCGCCTCCTTTAAGGCTGTTTGTTGGTCTACACAGAGGACTACTGTAAAAAGATTCTGCCTTCAAGAACGGTACCTCCCCTTCGCCACCGCCGCTGATGACACTTTTACAGTCACTGGTGGTAGCAACGGCTGTCACTCCGATCCTGTGGGCGTTGTTAATGACGTACATCAACCGGCCTGTCTCTGGGGCGAAGGCTCGGATTCTCCCGTCGTCCCACGCTGGCGTGGAAGGGGAACAAAACGCAGGCGGAATCAGTATACTAATCTCTGCGAAGACTCTGGCTCTCATAATCATAAAGGAGTCAGGACTGGGGAGCAGTGGTGGGGACGGAGGAAAGAGACCAGTTGCCCACAACTTCCCAGAATCATATCCCTCTTTCCTCTGACTCCCCAAACTGACCACACCTGGCTGGAGGAAAGGACTGGCTTGCCTTAGTTGAATCTGCCTCGAGGTGCACCCCACCCCGGAAGAAAACATTTTGGTGGGGGGGCGGGGAGGAAGGAAAGAGGTCAGCTCCCATATTGGAGTTCCCGGCTCTCCCAGAGCTGCAAATCTTGCACACTGGATTGGCTAGCTGATACTGCACCTGGGATGGCGAATTTAATATCTCCAAACACATGTTGGCTTCCTACCCTTCCCTCTACTTTAAAACATATTCCTCCCCCAACTCCTGGCATCTTTCTCATCTCAATAGAAGTTGCCACCATCCATCCGGTTGTCTAAGCCAAGAATTCAGAGTCATCCTTGCTTCGTCTCTATTCCATCCACCCAACCCCACCCAATGCAACCCAACATCCATCAGCAAGCTTCGCCAGCTCTACAGTTCAAAAGCATCCTGAATCTGGCCACTTCTCAACCCCTCCACTGGGCCTAACCTCATCCAAGCCATTGGCATCTCTCTCCTGGGTTACTGTAAAAGCTTCCTCCTTGGCCTCTCAGACTCTTGCCCCCTTCAAGGAATTACCTCTGCGGGGGCCTGGATGCACTTCTTAAATTCATGTTGCCTCCCCGGTCAAGAGGATTCAAAAGGTTTTCTCACTACGCTTACAATGGAAATCCAACTCCTTTATCCTCCGCGGTAGCTACTTTCTGCTCCCTACCTAGCTCTTCACCTTCTCCTACCCCTCCCTCAACCCTGACCCCAACCCTACCCCACTGCACTCAAGACACACTGGCTTCTTTCTGTTCCTCAAATACATGAAGCGATTTCCCACCTCAGGACCTTTGCCCCTGCTGTTCCTTCTGCCTGAAATGCTCTTCCCCCAGGTCTTCACGGGGCTGGCTCCTTCTCATCAGCCTTAGTGGCACCTCTGGACCTTTGCAGTTTTCAATAAGATGTTCAAGGTAGATCCCATTTCAGCAAAGACTTGAGGAGAAGAGGGGGTGAAGGGAGTGAGCCATGGGGCCCACTAGTGAAAGAACAACCGAGGCAGATGGAACAGCCAGGGTAAAGGCCCTGTGCACCGTGTGCTGAGCAATAGCAAAAAAGGAAGCATGGCCAGAAGCGGTGAATGAGAAGAAACAAAGACAGAGTTAACAAGTTGGTGGGGGGGGGGGGAGAGGAGAGAGGGTCATGGAAGGGCCTTGGAGGCATCTGCAGGGATGTAGGAATGAACCCTAGAAATGGCATGATAGGACTCACATCTTAGGAAGAGTTTTCTGGCTTCTGTGTTGACTACAGACTGGGGGAGAGGGATGGTAAGCAAGAACAGGGGCGGAGAAATGTGGTAGAAGCTGCTATCATAACCTAGGGGATGGCGGTGGCTGAGACAAGGGAGGAGATGACGAGAAGTGAAGGCCATCAGAGGGAAACGCCCTAAGCCAGGAGCTCCCGGTGGTGGCGGCTGTGTGGGAAGACCTGCCCAAAGGAGAAGCCAATGGAGAGGAAACAGAGCCAGGAGAAGAGGGCCTGAGATGGGCTCCCGGTACCACCATTTCAACAGCTGCTCCTAAAGATCCACTTGACTTTTCCCTGATGGGAACATTTACTTTTTGACCGCTGGGGAAATTTGCGTAGGAGTGGAACATAAGATGATATTAAGAAATTATTTCATCAGAAAAATATGCTTAGGGATGGATACCAAAGTACGTAGAGGTGGAATAGCATGGCGTCTGTCATTTATGTTAAAAAAATGCTTCGGCGTGGAAGGATCAATGGAGTTAAAAATGAATTCCCTTTGAGGCGTAACACAGTTGAGGTGAGGTTTTTATCTCTCAAATAACCCAACGGGGTCCAACACAGGTGCTCTGTGCTTGCCACGGCCTCAGTTCCCTCTGGTAATCGAATTCCTAAATTCCCCTACTAGAGAGAAAGCTGCATGCTATATGCAGCCATTTTGGGGGAAGAGAACTTGCTCTTTGGTCGTTCTGAGCTCAGAAAGTCTCCCGGGCGGGGCGGGGGGGGGAGGCAGGGAACTCCAAAGAGAGGCTGGATTTGAAGCAAGGAGGGGTGGGCAGTGGGGAGGCTGCTGCAGGGTATCCCTCCGGAGAGACCAGCATTGAACGAGAACGCCAAGGTCCAAAGCCACAGCCGACAGCCAAGCCAAAGCCTGATGAGGTCTACGTTGCCGGAAATGACGTCCACACTGCCGGAAATGACGTCAACGCTTCCGGAAGTGACGCCAACAACACCGGAGATGATGTCAACGTTACCGGAAATGATGCTCTTGCCGTCTCTCATGAAGTCAATGCCGTGGCAGGTCATGTTGGGCACGGTGATCCGCAGCAGCTCCCGGTTGGACACCGTGTGCCACACCCTGATGTCTTTCTTGGCGCAGGTGGCAAATAGCTCGGCAGTGCCGCTGCAAAGGAGACAGGGTGAGAATAAAGAGATGCAGCCGTACAAGATGTTTCTAGATGCACGTTTAACTCTCGAATATATTGCGCGAAGATATAGGGAAGGATGCCTTTTAGGCACCACGTATCTCAAAGTCTGATGGCCTTACAGAAACCTTGTGAAAAATGGCATTCGATGCCCACAAATCACCTGTGGACCATCTTTTGTAGCGCTTTCCCCGGGAGGATGGGTTGGGACAACGTCGCTCAAACGGAAAATGTCAGTTTCAAAGTCTTTAAATGTCCTGGCGGACAGGAGCTCAAATGCGTCTGTGGAATATCGATATGAAGAGAAGCTAAACAAAAGTCTTCTTGTGAAGTAGATAATCGTTACAATTTCAAAGACAAACGTGACACACGTGCCAGATTTCACACCTGCAGATGTTTGCTTGGTTGTGGGAAAATGTGAGACTTTGGACAAGGAAGTGAACCCAGAACAATTGATTTCTCTGCTTTTTTTTTTTTTTTTAAAGTTTTATTTATTTCTAGGAGAGAGAGAGAGACAGCGTGAGCAGGGGAGGGTCAGAGAGAGAGGGAGTCACAGACTGAAACAGGCTCCAGGCTCTGAGCTGG